AGAGAGAGAGAGAGAGAGAGAGAGAGAGAGAGAGAGAGAGAGAGAGAGAAGGGTATACAGACGGAGAAAGAGAGAAGCGTATATCGTTCATATACCCTCAGGGTAGCTGCACCGTGCCACCGACCAATCAATGGAGCTTCTTCGCTTCTCTCTCTCTCTCCCTCCCTCCCTCCCTCTCTCTCTCTCTTTCTTTGTCTCTCTCGAGCCTTTCTATATCGTATTTGCAATATGATCACCTTGTACACGCTCATGACGTATACGCGTATTTTATGTGTGTATATATGGTGTGTATGTGTTTGTGTGTACGGTTGATACGACATAACATATCGCGAATGCACGTCGACGTCGACAACCACGTAATTCAAAATAGGAAATACATGATAAATTCCCATGTTCGTTTAAAATGGCTTGCTTTGTTTCAGTTTATATTGTTGTAGAAAAATCACGTCCCATTGCATTTAGAGGAAAATATGCCGTATACGGAAAAAAAGAAATTCTCTTTTTCAATATTTTTTTCCTTTCATCATATTTGTGCTAAATCTGCGGATTATTAAAGTGTTGATATTTTCTAAAAACATGTCAAAAGCGTCGCTTTTCTGTTAAATTGTTATCTATTAAAAATTGTTTTTTATTTTTTTAATAACTATTTGTTCTTGCTTTGATTCTCAATATTGTTCAATTTAATTTTGATTAAAAAAAAAAGAGACTTTGCAAAATTGAGAAATATTAGTTCGGTAAGTCAATATATATTCAAATGTTATTGCGCGGATTGTAATCCGTAGAAAAGAGAATAAATTCTTGTTATTAAATCAACACAGTTCGCGTGATATTGTATTTATGAACATATTCTCGGTACATATACACGTATACAATATATATGTGATATATAAATGTCTAGCTTTGCTAGTAAGTTCTTGTTGTAAGGCCGAATCGATTTCGAGTTTGGAGTTATATCGACGGAATCTCGTTAGAAGTTCCCCGAGTCGAAATTTTGACTCTCTGATGAACCTCTCATTCTACTATATATAGGAGTTACGATAGTAAAGTAGGTTCAATTGCAAGGATAAAATTTGCTCCTACTTTCAACCTAAAAGTGTCACAAATTTCCATTTTCTCCAAGTTAGGTTTAAAGTAGGTTCTATTTTTGTAGGAGCTAAAGTAGTAAAATAGGTTCGATTAAAACGTCAATAAAAAAATTGACGGGGATTCGAACTCGAGACCCTTCGTCGTATTTGCAGCTCCTGCACTCAGTCTGCAAGACCATCTGTTTTTTAATAAAATACGATTATTTTTATCTATTTATTCTCAAGCTATCTTATACACATTTTATTTATTATTTGTTTANATAGAATTAAAGGTTCAAAAGAGGAGTAAATGAATATAAGTGTCAAAGTAGGTTTAAATAAGTATATTGGTCAGTTAAATAGGTTCAAAGTATCTTCAAAAGTTTGAAAGTAGCATCAAAATTTCGACTCGGGTCAATGCCCTTAGAAAAAGTTGTCGGTCGGAATTATTGTTCCCGAGGTATACAGCACCGTGTGGAATTACATTCGCGTCCCGATTGACGCCAGGGGCCTTACCCCCGAAAAACGTAGCTTCGACAGCTGGATTATGACTAAACTAGAGAGTGTGAGAGAGACATGCGTTCGTCGAAGAGTGATTCACGAGTTCGAACAATATGCGAATATACACATTCGCACATTTTACAATTTTAAAAAAATAATCTTGAGCGAATGTTTCTGGTTATTTCTGTATACCGGTTTCTACAGATTTCTATATTTCACACTTGCTGTGTGTTGAAATCGAGAGAACGTTGGTACTTATATTTGTATTTCAGAAATGTGCGATCACAAAAATAACTGAAAACAAATTTACAAATAACATATTTCTTGTTTCCGTTATTATAACTGCCGATGAGAAAGTACATATGTAGTTTCTCTTTTTTGAGTCAGTTGGTCGCGCGGATCGCATGGACGGGAGTTTAAAAAGAGGCGCTTTTGACTTTAACGTAGGGTTCGCATGTAATGTACCGCGCACGGCACGTACATACATGTGTTGCACACAGCTTGCATATGTCTCACATCTGTTAGTTAAACCCCGGTTAAGTATTCCGCGACCGAAGCTTGGTTTTACCTTGATTAAACGTTAACGATTCTTCGATACGACGTTTTGCATTAAGTGTGGTCATGGGCGCGATAAAAAAACGTTGCGCAGCATCCGTTCTTCTCTACGCAAGATCACGTAAAAAAATAATTTGTTACTCAATCGCATCTTTGATAGTTTCATTGTTCGGTTCACGAGTGACATAAGCCACTCATATTTCTCTATCTCTGATCTCTGTCGTTCCCTGTTCTATTTCACAATGAACTTCGACTTTCTCTTTCTCTCTTTTTTCTCTTTTCATTTTTCGCGCAATAATTTTTTTTACAAAACTATTCCGACTTTCTCGCGCTGATGCGTGATGCTCGTGGCGCGCGTTACACGCGGCACGGAAATAAATTTCCGAAAACATTGGCAGAGAGCGTTTATTGGCACGGTCGCCAAGTCTTACTCTGATATGTTTCGTCAGAGCCGTATAATTTCGGTACGTAATCGTTTGGAGACCGACCGACTCGATCTCCGGGTATAAACTTCAGACTAAGGTCAGGGATGCAGCTACTTCGACTCGTTTCCCGTGATTACACGTTTTACTCGCGGTACGCGACAAACGACAAACATCTCTCGAAGTAGCAGACTAGTGTTAATTAAATTTCAAAATTATATCAATTAAAAATTTTAATTGTATATTATCTAATTATGCGCATAACGACATAATTGCCGAGTCTTCGTCAACGCGATTGACATTTTTGTGTTTACTTTCAGACGTCTTATATATTGTTTACTTTTTTAACTACACAGTTTCTTTTTTCGAGTTTTTTTTCTGAGAATAGATTGTGTAGGTTGCGGTTTTTTCACACGAATTTACGATCAAGT